GCTATCAACTACCAAACATCTGTTCAAGGCAGGTCAGCATGATGCAGCTGATGGAAAAAAGACTAGAAATCCAGGCAGAAATGATGAAAGAGGCAAAGATTTTAAGTGCTTAAAGAGTCTGGTCTAGTATAATCATGCATTTGAATAGTAATTTGGAGAAGAGTAAGCCAAAAGTTCAAGTCCAAAGAAAACCTACAGAAGAGTTTGCGGGTCTTATATTCTTCCCACTGACACTCAGTGTTAAGTCTTTTACTTTTTTGCCCAAACCATAAAAGCAGAATAAGTCATTTTTCTTTAAATTCTGAAAGCAAAGTTCTGAGCAATTGGTGAGATCTGAAGGTCAGAGTAGATCACTACCCACGCAGCCAAAACTGAGAGTCCTCTAAGGTCCAGAAGATGGTTAATTCAAATATCAGAACCAGAAGTGACCACTGCCAGTAAGTATAGCCCGTAAAACCTAAGCCAGGCACAGATTCATTCTAGGCCCAAGAAGGCTATAGGGATAAAAAGTAGAGTCGTGGTTTTAACAGACAGATTTCTTTCACTCAGCAAAGTAATGATAGACATATTTTTAATAGAAGACATATTAAAGAATACAAAAGCAACACAATGGCAATAGTAAAAAGAATAAAGAAATACAGGTAGATGTAGATCTAAATATAGACCTGGGCCAAAACACAGATGCAGATGCTGTAGAGGCAAAGCATGATTGTGTTTACAGGACTTCCATTTCAAGGATTATTCAAGCAAAATACTAAGTGATTTTGGATTAAACTCTACAGTTCCCAATAATTGTAGGACTAGAGAGAAAATAAAAGATGCTGGTTTGGAGCCCAGAAAAGTCAGAATAGCCCGGCTCAAAGGCACATGTCCCACATCATCAAAAACACCCTTGAACCTCATCCAGGACTGGAGCACAGGCCATCACAAAAACCGGTATCTCCTTGGAGGAGAATCATGCACTGGCCATGTGCATGAAAAAGATACATTTATCTTTGGTAAATACTATAAACACACTCCAAAACACACTGAGATACATGTAGAAGCCTTCAAGAGCTGAGAGCAAAGAGAGAAGGGTAGTTGCTCCACCCATCTCAAGGTGGGTCAAGATCAAAGCTCACTGGTTGGAAGAGAGGGGAAACTGAGGCAAGATTGAATTAATCATCCTCCCTCCTCTCTGTCTCCATCTGTCTGCTGATCTGTCTCACCTTGCCCCTCCCTCTCCCCCCCCCCGCCTTGCTCTCTGTCTCTTTCTTTGCCTCCATCTCTCTTCCCCCTTTCCCAACTTGCCAAACACTATATCATGTAAGTTAAGTGAGCTGGTGAGGCAACTGCAACAGTGTAAACTAAGATGGGAAAATACAAAAGAAACCCTGACCAGAAAGGAAAGTTTGCCTCTGCCACTTGTTTTAAAATTTTTCCCAATTAAGTGGGACTGATGTACAATTGTTAAGACTCTCCTCTCAAGCTTAGTCATCATCACTCTACTTGCAGGATTGGGCTGAGGTACACCGCTTTGCCAACCTGTACCTTTCACACGTGCACAGTGTTGAGTGTTCTCAATTAAATCACTTGTTTGTGTGTGAGTGTGTGTGTTTGCAGTGCTGGGGATGGAATCAAGGGCCTATGGATGCTAGGCAAGCACTCTACCACTGAACTATGCCCCTTACCGGTTACTGATAATGTGGGGTTCTCAGTTAATTTACTAAAGTGAATCAGTTTTCAAGTAACACTCAAAATCACTACAAATGGCATAGAGATAATTATAAGAGACAGATGGCCCCTCCATCGCCTCCATACCCTCAATCAATTTCTCAGCAAGCACACACACAAGTACGTGCACAAACACACATACACACACCCCCCTCATTTCCTTAAATCCTTGGCAATCTTTGAATAACACCAGGAGAGCACACCAGGAATTTTAAAAAAGGTGAGGTAATCTACAAAAGAAATGGAGAAAGCACTACTGCATGTACATGATTGAAAGCATTGAAATATAGAGATTTGATTAACTCAACATTTATTGAGTACCTACTGGGTACAAAACTCCCTTTCGCCAAGACAGTGACCTAGGCACCAGAAATTGACTAGGCTGCATTGTAAGTCTGTTCTTGTCTCCTCACACATCCTCCAAACCACATATTCCATTCCCTATTTTCCAGGACTCTTCTTGGCCTGGCACCACGTTCCTTCCTGAATTCTCTTACATAAACACCTTGCCTTGCCTGTCCTCTCTGTTCTCATCTGCTGGCAGACCTTACTTTGTCTTAACAGGAAGTGGTAGGCCCGTCCTGACCATGTAAGCCATCTACACCTGCCAAGCTTTGGACACTCCCCTCCTCAGACTAAAAGGGAAGCAGTTCCCCCCAATTTTCTAAGAGAAATGACTTAAGGGTATATTGACACACACCACAAAGGTTATTTCAATCTTTCACAATGCAATTTTATTTTTTTCTCTAATCTCATAATTATTGGGAACTGAAGAGTTTAATCCAAAATCACTTAGTATTTTGCTTGAATGATCCTTGAAATGGAAATCCTGTAAACACAACCATGCTTTGCCTCTACAAGAAGAAAACAGTCTTATATCCATTCTTCTCAAACTAGATATGAATACATCCCAGGACAGGCATGGGGCAGGTCACCACCAGATAAAACAGAGTGTAAGGAGGGGAACAAAGTCACAAGATGGAATGCCATACCTTCCTGGAGAGATAACTTTTCCTCAGAAAAAAATATCATAGTTTATATTAAAACAAATCCCAGTATAACATATAGTAAAGTGAACCATTAGACTATTTCCTTAGAAACTCAGGACTTCAAAGACATCTTGCAGCAGTCCACAATATAAGAAGTTTTCTGCAAATAATCCTCTTGCCTTTAAATGCCATTTCATGAAACTTTTGAAAAATGTTTCACTCACACTTGGAACTTGTTGAAGATGTGAGCTACATCTTATCTTTGTCTTTGTCCCCAAGAACAGTACCCAAGACAGTATCTGTCACAGATAGAACACTCAGTAAAGTTTGTGCAATCAATTTGCAGAAATAATGATAACATTATTAATAATAAAAGACTGTTGGACAGATGGAGGAAAGGTCAACACTGTAGGAGGAAATGGAGTAGAAACAATCCAATTTACCCAACAGCCATGGCTGCCATGGTAACAATCAGATGAATCAACTCAGTTTAGTTCTTTTCCACTTGAACAAGTTTAGAAAGGCAAATATTGTACTTGTTAATCTCACATCAGAGGAAGGTGGGGCTTAGCACACAAGTCTACCAGGTGACACTGGTGCCCATTAAATTTAATAACTTCTGAAAGAGTTGGAAAGGCATTGTGGTAATAATTCCACCAATGATATTAAGTCCTGGTTTGTACACTGATCCTAAGAATGTCAATATAATCATTTAAAGGTCAAGTGTCAAACACCTGCTGTTGAGACTTAACAACTGAAGTAAGATCATATGTATGTATATATATATATACAGTATCTAATATGAAGTGAACTCTCTTCATTCCTAAAATTTTTACATCATTTTAATTAGCTGGACCCAAACTAAGTTAGAGTTGAAAAGTGACTCAGAGAAACAGTGCGCTTACAGCAATGTTTAAATTTTTCCTGGTGGAGACACTACATTTTACCTCACTTGTAAACAGTAGGGAGGACCAGCATCACACCCACTTTTTCCACAAATCCCTCCTTCACCAGTGAGTCACTCTCTCTCCTGCTCAGTATTTCCCTTACCTTCCAGACTGGAGGAAGAATTTGGGAGGAGTAACTGAGGACTCCTAGCCTGCCAGTGCCAGCTGTGAAGCAATGAACAAGCACCCTGACACCTGACACAGACCAGGGCCACCTTCCTTTTCTGAGTCTTAAGTCTCAGATATGCAAACTGTCAACTAAAATGATGCTTCTCAGATCTTAATAATGACAACCAGAGCTCAATAAAATTTCAACTGAAACCCCAACAGAAAGCAGAAAAACATGTCCAGCACTAACTGAACTGCCTGGAAAAGTGGGACAGCAGCTGGAGACAGAACACGAAATAGAGACAGGGATAGATGCAAAGGAAGCTGCCCTATTAATCCTGCCAGCCAGCATCCTTTTTTCTCCTGAGTATTAAGTTAGAAACTTGGTATTAACTTATTTTCTTTCATAGCCGTGGGGAGAGAATATGTTGTATGATTTTGCAATTTTATTCTATTGCATAAAAAGGAGTTTTTCAGTTCACATGATCTGGTACCAAACTTCTACTTTTTAGTTAACTGGGCAAGTGCCTCGATGAATCTCTGTTGAAATTTCTGGGACTGAGTTTCTCCTCAATCCAGAGACAGCCAAACCTACCTCTCAAGGTTGTTCTTAAAATTTAACCAGTGGCCTGGAGCTGACTGCTCACAGGAGGCAGAGATCAGGAGGACTGCGGTTCAAAGCCAGCCCCTATCTCATAAAACCCACCACAAAAAAGGGCTGGAGGAGAGGCTAAAGCATAGAGAGGCTTTCTAGCAAGCTTGAGGCCCTAAGTTCAAACACCAGTGCTGAAAAAAAAAATTAAACCAGTGGAACTCAGTAAAATGCCTACCATCAAAGAATACTTGTGTCCAGCAATATAACCAAGTTTCTTTTCTACCTAGACTTAGGAAAACAACATCAAAGTTATCATAGAGGATGCCAAATTGGCAAACTGCCCAGGCTGAGGCCCAGGGTAGAAGATGACTTAAACAGATCGCAGTGAGACTGAGGGAGTGCACCTAAACAGGTGCTGGCCCCAGGGGGGCTGCAGGTTTCATCATGGCCCTGGTGACTAACAAGACACAGCATTTAGCATGTGAAACTCTGTCCCCTAACCCAACTGGGTGCACGCACGCCCTTTCCTTAACTCTCCTTTTGGAAAAGTCAACTGGAGTAGATGAAAGGAGAAAAGGAACTCATAAATTCCTTTTCTAGGATCCTTGAATCTGCACACCGCAAAAGTTTCCCGACCCACACACGCACCTGGGAATGAACTTGGCTTCGTCTCCGAGTAGCCCCTGGAAGTCCTGCCAGGCTCTTCCCAGGCTCGCCGGACTCCACAGGGCGGCCAGGTCCGTCGCCGCGTCCTCGTCGCCCTCATCCTCCTCGCTGTCCCCGGGTTCGGGTCCCGTGTCCACTGCCGCAGGCAAGGACTCCCGCAGCCCCCAGCCCCGCCGCCGCGCCCCGCGCCGGACCCCGCGGAAGCCGCGCGCGAACTCCTGGAAGGTGATGGCGCCGTCGCGGTCGGCGTCCAGCCGCTGGAACACGGCCTCGGCCTCGGCCGGCCGCACGCGCAGCTCCGCGCACAGCGCGCCGAACTCCTCGCGCTCCAGCCGCCCCGAGCGGTTCGCGTCGCAGGCTGCGAAGACCGAGCGCAGCCGGGCCAGCTCCTCCGGGTCCCCGTCCGCCTCCATCCCACCCGGCGGGGCGACCGAGAGGCCGGCGGGGCGACCGAGAGGCCTCCGGAGCGCCACCGGCCAGTGACGACAATGGGAAGTCAGGAGTCACCTGCTCGGGACGGGAGTCGCGGCGAGTTGGGCTGGTCGGGCAGGTTCGGTCACCTGCGGCAGTGTCCGGGCGGGGCGGGGTGCGGCGTCCGCGGGAGGGGGTGGCCCGCCGGGGTGGCCGTTCGGCGGCGCCCGCACGCGCGGGTGTCTGCGGGCCACTGCGGGCGGGAGAGAGGTCGGTGCGTCCCTGACTCTGGGTACCGTGCGGCCGGGTGGGTCCGCGACTGAGCGCCCGCGCAGGCGGTGGCACTCGCCGCTTTCCGCAGGGTCTGGCTCCGCCCAGGCACGGAGGAGGAGCGCGCGGCCAGGATTCCCAAGCCTCAGCCTGGGCAGCCAGCCTCTGCTTTCGGGGTAGGAGTTTCCCCTAGAAGGGAGAAAGGTAGGTAGGAGTAGGATTCTACATTGTTAAAGTGAAAACCATTGTGTCCTTTTCTGATTCCAGAAGCTTTGGGTGCTCTCTGTGTAGTTTCCAGCATTTGTAATTCTTTTTCATCAAACATAAGTTCCCGTTATCACGTAGACCTGTCATTTCTTAGTCCCTGACTCCTCTACCTCAGAGAAAATTAACACCCAAATCGCTTAACGGGCAGCATTCTTTAAAGAAAGACTAGGGTCGTTCTGCTTTTGCTCTTTTCTTTAAACAAACCTTATGAAATTATATATCCCTTGGATTTTAAACATTTGTGTCGACAATGCTAATTTTTTTTAACACCGACTGCTTGGTGCATAGGTCTTTAAAATTCATCCGTGAAAATACATCGAGCTGTTTTCACTTTAGTCATATTTTCCATTTCTCCTACCTGTTAGACTTTCTTTAATGTACTGCCATTTGTTAGTTGTGACTCTGTATTTCCCTTTCATCTCCTTCTGGATTATCTTTACTGCTCATTACTTGGATTTTTAAAAATATGATAATTAGGGAATCCGCCTGAGACAATCCTTCCAGGCTAATTTCTTAAACATAAAGCTCAGTGCTAAACGTCTGAGGAACTGTTTATTAAATTGTACATAAGCGTCTCGCAAGCTGTAAGTACTACTGGTAACCTCTGTCCACAAATTTAACTATTAAGTTAGGAGAAACATTTCCTTGAAGCTCTGGTCTTACAAACCTAATTCCTAAGTGAATATAGTGCTATACAGTTGGCCAGCAAATACAAATGAGTTTTATTATTGTCGCAGTGTAAATTGTATTGATTTTGAGTTTATGTGTTTTCCTATTCTAAAGATTGATTTTTTTCGTGTACAGCAAAAAAAGTCTCTAGCTTTAAAGCTTTACAAATACACTTATTATATTAAATCTTTTAAATATTATTATAACGGCATAATGGCTATGTCTTTCAAAGGAAATGTGTTAATATTTTTAGCTACTAAGGGCAGAAGTAATTTCTGAAGGACTTCTCATACAACTTCATTCCTGAATTATCACTCTAAATATTCTGAGTTCTTAAGTTCTTTAGCCCACTTTTCCCTTTTCTTCAGTCTCTTCATTGAAATGTCATCAAGAAAGACAGATTATTCCAAATGTGGTATGCACACATCTATTGCCAGTGATATTAATCTACACCAGACCTACTAGATGAACTGTCTGTCACTGTGTAACAACACAACCAACATACAGTGATTTAAAATAGCTACCATTTCACTTGTTCATAGTTCCATTTTAATCAATTCAGGCAGGGTTCAGCTAGATGGATTTTCTGTTGCCTTTCCTGGGATAACTCAAGTAGTTGCAGTTAAGGTGGTGACTTGATTGCATCTAGATGGTCTTAGAGGGCCTCTTCACATGTCTGGAAGTTGGTGCTGGCTGTTGGCTGGGCCATGTGTTCAGAGGCTAACATTGGCTTTGTCACGTGGTAGCAGTAGTCCAAGAGAGTAACAAGTGCTTTTCAAATCTCAACTTGTGTCAAGTTTGTGATATTTCATTGACTAGAGCAAGTCACACGAGCAAGCCCCAAGTCAATGTGAGAAGGGACTACCCCAAGTCACAGATACAGAAAGATGTGCCTCATGGGAGGTCCTTACAATAACAGACCATACCAAGGGTATTGGAACAACCTCTAATACATTCTCTCAAGCTTTTGACCTGCCATCTTTCTGTTCCTTCTATACCACCACAGCTGGACAGTCCTTAGACACCAGTTATTCTGTCATTTGCCACTCAGTGGTTCCGAGCCAGGTAGAAGTTTTGTTCCCTTTGCACATTTGGCAGTTCCCAGCTCCTCTCCTGTCCCCACCCGATTACAGAAATAATCCAGTCAAAAGTGTCAATAGTGCTAAGGATGAGAAAGCCTGCATCTTGGCTCAAAACCTCCAGTGGTGCCCTAATAAGAGAATCTCTTTGAGCATTAGAGGAACTCTTTGAACATTCACAGTCCTCAGCATCTAGTTCCATTGTAAAGATCCAAGCATTTCTCCCTTTAGCCACACTTCATCACACGGTTAACTTAATAACTCCTTGCAATCAGGACAAGATGGCTCCTTGTTATTAGGACAAAATGTACATATGAAACAAACCCTTTAGCTGTTCTCTCTTTGACCTCACTAAGTCCTTGCCCAGGTTCAGTCAGATTGGATCCTGCTTTTCCTACCAGAGTTTCTAAGATTTTATTGTAACCTCTCACAAATTCACACTCACTGTGTTCATATGTCAGCTCAAGTAACCAGTAACCTGCTACAGGACTGCTTTGTAATGTCCCCAGCCGCACTCTCATGAGAAGCCAAGGTTATATAATCCATCTCTAATTTCGTTTTCAAGAACAGAGGAAAGAAAGAAATAGGAGGTCCTCCCTTTCTATTTTAGCATTCAGAAAGAGCTAGTGAGGAATTGGAGGTAACAGAGGAACCTTTGAGAGCTGGTGATTTGGAAGGAAAAAGAGCTTGCCCAGAGCTACTATCATGACTTTTAGAGAGATCAGCTTACTTTCTGGCTTCTCACGCAGCTGAGAAATTGTAGATCATCTTGTTGCAGCGTGTTTCTCAAAGTTTCAAAAGACATCCTTAGAAAATTAGTGTCATGAGCAAATGTGTTTGTAAAACACAAATTTGAGAAGAACTATACTAAATTCCTTCTGCGATGAGATAAGAAAGCTATTTAATATTTCGTAATTGCATTTGAGGATGAAAGCCTTTAGTTTGGAGGTTTGGTTTGGTTTTGATTTCTATGAACTTTCCACAGAACAAGTGCTACTGAGAACATGCTATGGGAAGCATCATGTTACACAGTAACTAAGGTGGTAAGTCATAAGAAATGATCCCTTCCCACTACATCAGAAATCCCTCCAACCTCCTGTAATGGTAATGAATGCCAACCCTGCAACCTGCTTTTTAGTGCTAAGTGGGAGGAGCTTTTAGTGGAAGCATGTCTCAATCTACTGTAGAATTTCCTTCATGTACAGGATCTTCCTCAGAAAATAATTTACCATTGTAGTTACTCTGCCCCAGAAAGTTTCAGTATGCTAGTTAAGATGGAACTAGATATCCCAATAATGGCACATCACTGAGGAACCAGTTACATTCAGGAACTGTCTGAGCCCTGGCCGACTTCTTTCTCATGAAATCTACTCATGACTTAACTATTTGTAAGGAAGTTAAAAGAAAAATGTTGAAGATTTTGCAAAGAGCAATGTGTCAGCAAACTTACAGTGATCTACTTACTGTATAAAGCATGAAAAGAAAAGAAAATAGTGTAACCCCTATGGAGAATTACCAAATATGAACATTATATCCACTTGCTTTGCATCTATTTTTTTTCCAAATAAAACATTATAGACTCAATTGAGCTTCCCCTTTTATTGCATAGTATTTCTATAACTGATCTATAGAATTTGTGTATATGTGTTGTATTAGCAGTTATCAGACTTTGGTAAATCTTTCATGGTAAAAAGTTGGATCTTGATAATGCTCTCAACTGTATCAAACACCATTTTACAAGTCTCACCAGAGCGTAGTTGGTGTTCATCGCTTGGAACTAAGTGCAGAGTTCAGCTCCAAACTTCTGATCCCATTATGTGATGAGAGAGCAAAGCTCATGTGTCATTTTCCCACATTAGCAAAATGTGTGTCTTATACATCTTGCTCCGCTCAGTTGAAACAATTTTGTATTTTATATTATGTATGCAGAAAGAGGAGAAAGAGAGAAATCAAACCCAGTGGAAGCACATGGATCTCAGTTCAAATTTTAGACACCAAAAAAAATCAAACTGTGGTAAGCAGAATTCTACTACACCTACCCAAATCCCTGCTTTGGTGTACATGCCTTACATAATCCACAGTGAGCAGGACTCAAGAATATGACGGGTTCGTCACTCCTGTGATTACATTAGGTGATATAAAACTCCATTCCCCTGCCTCTATGAAAAAGTGAGGCATCTTAGAACGTCTTAAGCAGGCCAGGCTGGCTAGGACCTGAGGGTGGCCTGTAGTAGCTGGGGATGACCCAGGCTGACAACCACCAAGGAAACAGGTGCCTTGATTCATTCTACAACTGCAAAGAATTGAATCTTGCCAATAGCCTAAATTGAAAGGGACTCTGAGTGTACAGTGAGAACACAGCCCCAGCTCAAAATCAACATTTTGATTTCAGCACTATAAGACCCTGGGCAGAGAACCCAGTTATTTTGTTCCTGAACGTCCAACCTATTGAATAGTGAGATAACAAATGGGCATTATTTTGAGCTGCAAAGATGTGTGGTCATTTGTTTTCCATAATACCAAACAAATATCCAAATACGAATTTGTTTTCCTGAGGAAGAGAAAGGGGAAAGAAGGCAAGGTATGGAGATTCAAAACAGTAACAAAAGCCAGTAGTAAAACATGACATGTTGTACTCTGGAAACAATTCATAATGCAATGTTAAGTTAAAATAAAGCAGCTTTCAAGAACCTTTGTATTTTGAGTTTTTTTTTTTT